TCTCATGGCAAAGAATAAAATACTGCATGGAGAAGAGACATTTTCATTCATTGTCTTATTTTTGCCTCCATTTTCATGAGTGCAGGATATAGCTTAAGACTAAAGTTGCAAACTGGTGCCTTGTGAACATGCTCTGTTCTGAATAGCACTTTTATAAATTCTTGAGATTTTATTCATTAAATATCAAGGGAAGTAAATAAAAAATCTTTTTTTTTTTTTTTTTAATTTAAAGACAGAGTCCTGTTATGTAGCCTAGGCTGGCCTTGAACTTGAAGCAATCCTGCCTCTGCTTCCCAGGCTTCCGGAGTGCTGGGATTACATGTATGTGCCACCACAACTAGTGAAAAAAATCTCAATTCTTAGTCTTTTGTAAAACCAGAAATCCTAGCAACACTTGGTGTTATAATAACAAGGGCCTTTAGCTAAATAGTGACTGCCTTTTAAGACAGAAATGTTGGGCCAGGGATATAGATCAGCAGCACTGTGCCTGCCTGGTAGTGCAAGATCATGAGTTTGATTCCCAGTACCAAAACAACAACAACAAAAAAACAGGGCTGTCATAGTACCCAGCTCTCCCTGTTTCTGACCCTTGACCACCATCAGTCATTTATACTATGCTTTCAGATCCTCCAACTTGAATTTTTGACCCCTACCTTACTTACCTGTATCTGTTTACAAACTGAAAAAACATCAATATGGAACCTATAAAATTCCACTGTACTTCTATTATTACTATTATTTTGGTGCTAGTTTATTGGAACCTCAAGCCTTCACACTGAGCTACACCCCATTTGCCTAAGTAGGACTCTTTTATTTTATTTTGAGACTGGGTGCTACCAAGTCACTAAATTGTCTAGGCTGGGCTTGAACTTGCCTTGAACTTGCCCAGAGTGCTGAGACCAGAGAGATATGCTACCATGCCTGGTTATTCCACTGTACTACCAAATAAGTAAATGAAGTACCAACAGGGGTAAGGATGTTCTTTGAAAAGCACAATAGTTTCTCTACTCATCTTTTTCATCCTTCCCTTTTACTAATTTTTTTTTTAGGAGACAGTTTCACTATGCAGTTCAGGCTGGCCTTGAACTCAGCGATTCTCCCACTTCAGCTTCCCAAGTGCTGGGGTTACAGGTATGTGTGCCAACACGCCCAACTCTCATTCTCCCCCCACTTTTTTTTTGTGGTATCAGGGATCAAACTCAGGACCTTGCACTTGCCAAGCATGCACTTATTCCACTGAGCTATCTCCCCGACCTGCTTCATTCTTTCCATTTTTGATTATCAGATGGCAGCAATATGAGCTGACACTACTATTAAATTACTTTTAGTTTATAGATATGACAAAATATACTGATTTCTCTTTAAGGATCATTTATAGAGTAACTATGAGCATATCAGTTTAAAGCACAACTAAGCTGTTTCATCTGAAACCTGGTTAAACTGCACTAAGAAAAAAAAGCAAAAAACAACTATCACCAGAGATGCAGACAATGAATCAGTCTGCTATAACAAGCAATGAAGAGTTCTCAAAATAGATAATAAAACAAGTGATTTGTGCTGAGCAATTACTGGAATGCAAGGTAGGTTCACTAAGACATTAAGTGGATGTCACTTCTTATTTAGATAAATCACTACACTGGCAGGTCAGAGAAAAGCTTTTTCCGTAATCTCTGATAAGATGGTAAAATGTGGTTGGATACTACATTTTTAATTGGTTGAAAAATCCTTCCCCAAGAATTCTGGACCTGTCACTGGCAGAATTCTATAGTGCAGTAATAAAAGGCTTGTTCACTTTATTTCTCCTTTCTAACCTTTGGTATACATTATTTTTGACCAGTAACTTAAAAGACATACCTACCAAATTTGAAAATAACAAAATGCTGAGAGATATATAATGGGACAAATGATAGAAATAATATTTAAAATGACTGAACTAGAACAAATGGAGTTAAAAGAAGACTATGACATTTACTAAAGGTACATAGGTATCTGCATTTAGGCTCAAAGATTCAACTGACAATGTCATGTCAAACAATTAGAGAGGGACAGCTGCTTTAATAGCACTTCATATGAAAAAAAATCTGATTTCAATTAATCCCAAGGCAATATATGTGGACAGTGGGATGGGCTGTTAAACAGTTAACTCATGCACTAGACAGGTGCTATGCTATATGTGAAATAAGACTGTCTCCCCGACTAGCCAGACCACACCTGGAGCACTGTTGTCTCTGCTATGTGGTACCTCTTAGGAGGTAGTGTGAAAACATAGGGGGCTTTCAGATGGGGACAACCAGGAATGGTGAGGCCACTAACACATCTAATTTAAGAAAAGGCTGAAAGAAATGGAATGTTCTACCTGGAGAAGAGAAAGTTAGGGGAGGCATGATGGCTGTCTTCAAATGTCTGTAGGGCTGCTATGTTGAAGAGGGAGTAGAATAGTTGTATGTTGTTCTAAAGGGCAGAACTAAAACTAAAGGAGAGAAAGTTATAGGGAAGATATTTTAGTTTAAAAAAATAGAAGCAAAAGCAAAAACCCTTGCCAAAGAAGAAAGCCATCAACAAATAAACAGCACTCTCCCTGGAAGACAATCTTCCAGGAGGGTAGGCCAGACGAATCTCTTCCAGCTCTAAGATTCCCAACAGCAGAGCTCCTAAGGTTGTTTGGTTTGAACTCGCCTTGTATGCTCTCAGTCAGGGAAAGGATGTCGGTCTGGGTTACTCCTTCACAGGATGTCACTCAAGAGGAAGGAGGCAGAACTCCTCCAACACATGAATGAGGTAATCCCTTCAAAGCAGTCCCCTGAGATGGCTGTATTTTTATTCTAGAGCTGCTAGGGCTAAAAATATCACCAGAATTCTTTTAGAATGCCATCAAAATCAGTTTTCTTAGTCACCTAAGAAACAGCTTTACTGTTCACACACAGAACTACTATACTCCTGGTGGACACAAACCACAGTCTTTTCACAAAGGTAGAGTCTAATCCTCAGTTCAGCTACTGGTAGACCAAACAACTAACCCACTTCTAAGCAAAATCTACTATTTGGCTTGTTCCTCTATCTTAATCAAGCTCAGCTCGCAATGATGTCCAAATGATTTCAAAAACTTAATTCATTCTTAGACACATATTAAATTTGATGTCAGATACAAATTAATATAACCTATGCCAGTGGTGCTAAACTATGGCAAGCATGCGGAAGCAGGCTGTTTGTCATCACTGAAAGCTCTATAGGGATTTTTTTTTTTTTTTGGTACTAGGGATCAAACTCAGGATCTTTTGCTTGCTAGGCAGGTGCTTAAGCCACTGAGCTATCGCCCCATCCATGAAAAGGTTTGCCAAAACTGACCTAGGGTTTTTTTTCTTTTTAACCTAGGCTCTTTTTTTTTTTTTTTTTTTATGCCAGCTCAGGATGGATGCCTTAAGGTCTGGTCTGGTAAGGCAGGAGGATCTGGGAATCAAACCACAGAATTCTGAGCCTGACTGCTTTGCTTAAGCAGACACTTAAACAATTGAGCTAATGGGCAGGCCCCCTAATCTAGGCTCTTAAATGCTCGAAAAATATAAAACTGACTCAAATAAAGGTAGCATGATCAGCATAAGAATGTAACCCCCCAAGTTCATTGCTT